ATGCCTGTAAACATGTGTAAATGCATCTAGACACATGTTAACCCTAGACACGTTTAGCATTTGAGCATTAATTAATCTCAATGGCCAGAAAAAATTGATTTACTGCCCAAATGCTTTTTTTTTTTTTTTGCCAAAGCGCTGTTGCCAGGCTTATAAGAGAGTTTAGAACTGACCAGTGTGCATGAGGCCTAATGCATTCTCTGCTACCCCAGCCCTCCTAAATACTTGACTGAGCCTGCTCTCAATCCAACGCTGTGCCCCCCTCACTGGTCATGGAGGCAGCAGCGGGAGCCATTGAAAAAGCTGAAGTGAGCAGCTGATTGGAGGAACGCCCGTGTGAAAGGGGCCAAAGTACATTGGGTCTGATTGGCCAATCAGCTTCTCACTTCAGCTTTTTCAATGGCTCCTGCTGCTGCCTCCATGACCAGTGAGAAGGGCACAGTGTTGAATTGAGAGCAGGCTCAGGCAAGTATTTAGGAGGGCTGAGGGAGCAGAGAATGCATTACGGAACGTATGTCCATTTTCCATCCGTCCATCGACAGATGAAAAAATGGACACCGATGTATTCCTATGGGCAAGTGGATGATCTTCTGTTTACATCCACCTCCATTAACCTCTGTTTTTTTTTAATGGAACGAAGCCCTATTTTTGCTCCGTTAAAAAAAAAAAAAAAAAAAAAGACAGAAAATGGCTGTTTACATCAGGCTTACAACAGTTTTTCTGAAAAATACAATTTTAATTTTCAATATAAAATGTAACCTATGACCCAGATAGTAATCTAGAAGGAAGCGACATCCCTGTGAAAGTGTCTTGGGAAATTTCCATGACTCATGAAAAACGGATGTAAGTGGATGAAACATGTATGGAAGACAGATGTAAATGGATGTACATGGAGATAAATCTAAAATGGTTGTAAAAACTGATGTCCTGATCCATTTTTCATCCGATTTTCTAAAAAAACAAACAAAAAACAACACATGACTGAATGGATGAAGCAAACAGAGTGCCCATGTGAAAGGATCCTTAAGCTGATAACACACACAAACAATAGTAATTTCTTGTGTTTTTATTGAACACACCCATTAAACATACACAGTGCTTGAGGAAGACATAAGTGAACCCAGACTAATTAGTTCAACAAATGCTGATTGGAGTCAATAGTTTGCACATCTGGAGTCCAATTAATGAAATGAGTTTGAATGTGTAATTTAGAGCTTGTTTGATTGAAGAGACATCCAAACATTTTAAGAATACTGTTCATAAGAAGCATCAGCTGACGTGAACCATGCCTCACAAAAAGGAGCTCTATGATGACATAAGATCAAGAGCAATTGATCTGCATAAAGCTGGAAAGAGATACAAAGCAATCTCATAGTGTTTTAGGCATTCTCCATTCAACAGTTAGACAAACTGTCTATATATGGAAACAGTTTAGTACTGTGCCTACTCTTCCTAAAAGTGGACACCCAGTCAAAATAACTCCCTAGGCACAGTGCAGAATCCTCAGTGAGGTAAAGAAGAACCCACAAGCAACAGCTAAAGACTTAAAGACATCACTGGAACTGGCAAACATCCCTGTTAATGAGTCCTACCATACACAAGTCTTTGAACAGGCAGGGTGTCTATGGCAGAACACCAAGGAGGAAGCTGAAAAAAAAAAAGATTGCTGGGTGCCTGAAGTTTTCAAAGAGCACCTTGGCAAACCATAACTCTACTGGGAAACGGTTTTGTGAACTAAAAAACACAAAAGTTTAATTGGTCATGAAGAGTACTCTGCACTATATATGGAGCAAAAAAGAACAGCTTACCAACATCAAAACATCATCCCAAAGATGAAGAATCGTGGAGGGAACATCATGATTTGGGCTTGCTTTGCTGCCTCAGGGCCTGGACCACTTGCCATCATTGAGGGGAAAATGAATCCCCAATTTTACCAAAACATCCTACTGGATAATGTCCGGGTGTCTGGCCACCAGCTGAAGTTTAGTAGAGGTTGGGTGACACAGCAGAACAATGACTCTAAGCACTGAAGTAAATCCACCACTGACTGGCTTCAGTAAAAGAAAATGAGCCTTTTGGAGTGACCCTGTCAGAGCCCAGACCTTATCCCCATAGATATGCTTTGGAATTACCTCAAGAGAGCAATTCACACTAGACATTCTACAAATGTGTCTAAGCTGAAGCAGTTTTGTTTGTAAAGAGGAGGAATTCCTCCTCACTGTTGTGCAGGTCTGATCTAGAGCTACCGAACACTACACTATAGAAAAAATGTGATATAAGGGTATGCATGTGGATGTAAATGGCAGGCCTCCCTTTGACCTTTCCCTATGTCAACACATGCACAGCAAACTCAGAGTTAACCTTACAGCTTTCTAGGATATGTAAATGAACAGATACATTGCAAGACAGCTTCTGATTTCCCTGCATCAGAAATGAAGCAAGTGGTCAGCCAATGCTTGAGCAGCACCTCTATAAATAACCCAACAGATGAGTTGAAGGAAGTGTACAGAGGATCGTCTGTCAATATGGCATGGGTTTTATAGTCAGTGGCGTCAGGCCAGTTATAACCTTTAGCTGACACAAGCACAGAGCAGGCTTGTATGAACACTTGCACTAAGGCAAAAAAGCAAACCTAAACTAAATCCCTCAGTTTACATTAAAAAGTATCCAATACTGAATTACAATGTTGTCAAAACTTAGGACTCTTAGTTGCCTCTAGTTCCGAGTTGTGTATGCGTTAAGCAATTCCTTTCCTGCACGGCAGACATCAAACTGACAGTCCCAGATTATGTACGGTGATATAATCAGGGCTCTACTGCATGACAAATGTTTTCACGCTGAGATCTGAAGGGGAAGGTATATAAGCCTAAAAAAGCAATATAAGGACTATCACTCCCCTCTCCAATAGCATATACTTTACCTTTTAGCACCCCTGCTACCCTATTTATCCCCAGGATCCAATGGAAATGCCTGTTACTTCCAAGTATAGAGTGACTGAGCCATGAGAAAGGTCTCTGTTCATCATCGCAGTGTCTCGGAGGATCCATAGCCCCATGTATGATATGACTTTGGTGATTCGTAAGCTACACAGGGCTTTCCTTTCACTCCCAGTGGCTTAAGGATGCATTAGGTAAATTTAGCATTTAGATCTACTAAAGGCAAATAGGCTGTACACTCTGCAAGTGCAATTGCACTCATTTTGCAAATAGTTTAGTGAATGTGGTGAAGCTTTCGTTTGTAAAGCATACCCAGTTAGGTGCAAGGAAAATTTTTAACAAACAGCACTTTTGCTTGCACATGATTGGATGATGGAAATCGGCAGAGCTTTACCACATTCACTAAGTTCTTGGAAAAATTGGTGAAAATGCACTTCCAAAGTGCACAGTCTGGTCTTTAGTAAATCAACCCCAAGATTAGTGAAAAGTTTTACTGATAAGTTGTCAAGAATTAGTGTTTTCTAATTTTGTTATATGCCTCATTGATCTAGTTTACTTTTTTAATTAAAAATAAAATACTGTATGTTCTATTTCCACCAGCTACGCCATATCAGAGTTCAAGTGGTAGTAATGTAATGAATTAGAAAAACTGCTGACAGGCAGGCTTTTTATAACAGAAGTAACCCTAGAGGTCTCTTTTGTCATAAGAGCCCCCCCCCCCCCCCCGCCTGAGAGGTAATGTGATCTGAGCCATGCATGTGCAGTTCAGACCACATTTATGGCCCACTCTCTGTGCCACAGTGATGTGACTCCCATGTGTATGTGCAGGACTGTTCATTGAAGTGGCCGAAGATACAAAACCTAGAAGGAAGACAGAGCAAACATGGAAGCGCCATGACAGCTCAGCCCTGAAGGACTCAGTTTGTCGGTAAATCAGTCATAATTTGTTAGTGGGCTGTGCATACTAATAAATTATGGCTAAAACCTGCCCATTTCTTTACTTTGCTCACTAGCTTTACTGCCACTTTAAAGTAACTATAGGATTTAAATCCAGTAACTAATTTGATGAGTGTACACAGCATCTGAAGCTTCAACTTGACTGTTCAAGATTTTTTTTCAGCTAGTCACTTCACCATAATCCTCAAATGAAATTTTATCCACCCTTAAGTTGAGTTCTAAAGCTAACAAAGAGTGTCAACGAAACTTCAGACCACAGGCTCTGTGATACAGAAAGCTCAGCAAATGTATTCTTCATTGCAATATTCACTATCAGGAAAATAAAAATAAAATGTATAAATCACTTGTACAGGAACTATCATTAAACATTGCGACAACACAAAAGAGAAGACATAAGGCACCGTTAATTAAGAATTTTTTTTTCTCCAGCATAAAGCATGCTAACATCACCATGTCAACCAAGAATTATACAATTAACACACTATCAGAAAATAGGACAGAAGAAAAGTGTAACCTGAACGTTCCTGAGGTTAAACTTCTTATCCGGCAAAGAATACAGAGAATCTGTGGAGATACCCACATGGTCTATCCCTGCAAGAGCCTATCTTGAATCAGTTGGTGCGGTGCTAGGCCTGGGACGTTCATTTAATTTAAAGTATATTTCTACTTCTGCAGCCAAATATGACACCTACTTTGTTTGTTACACAACTATAACATACCGTATATACTTGAGTATAAGCCGACCCGAATATAAGCCGAGGTACCTAATTTTACCACAAAAAAAACTGGGAAAAACTATTGACTCGAGTATAAACCCATCATTAGTATCAGTGGGAGTATAAGCCCCATCGTTAGTATCAGTGGGAGGAATAGTGCCCCATCGTTGGTGTCAGTGGGAGGAATAGTGCCCCATCGTTGGTGTCAGTGGGAGGAATAGTGCCCCAGTGGGAGGAATAGTGCCCCATCGTTGGTGTCAGTGGGAGGAATAGTGCCCCATCGTTGGTGTCAGTGGGAGGAATAGTGCCCCATCGTTGGTGTCAGTGGGAGGAATAGTGCCCCATCGTTGGTGTCAGTGGGAGGAATAGTGCCCCATCGTTGGTGTCAGTGGGAGGAATAGTGCCCCATCGTTGGTGTCAGTGGGAGGAATAGTGCCCCATCGTTGGTGTCAGTGGGAGGAATAGTGCCCCATCATTAGTATCAGTGACACCAATGATGTGGCACTATTCCTCCCACTTACACCATTGACACTTGCTGACCCCTGTTGCAGTATGGTGCTGCTGCAGCCAGCATATGTGGTTGCAGCAGCACCTCTGCACTGCACACTTACCAGCTTTTCCCTCACTCGATTTTCACTGGTCCGCTCGGCTTTGCCTCCTCGCCCATGATTGGCCGCCTGTGTACCTTTCCTGAGCTACAGTGAGGAGGTGGAGCCGAGCGGCAGGAGTGAGGGAGTGGCCGGAGTGACGGAAGGAGCAGCGCTTCCTGGATGGATCATCGTGGGAGCCAGGTAAGAGACAGCAGCCCTCTGCCCACCCCTGTACGCACCCCCTTGACGGAGCCTCACGCCCACCCTGGGGGGCGCGCCCCACTATTTGAGAAGCACTGGCTTTAGAAGCAGCGCCCCCTGCTAGACATCTGCAGACGTTGACTCGAGTATAAGCCGAGGGGGCCGTTTTTCAGCACATAAAATGTGCTGAAAAACTCGGCTTATACTCGAGTATATACGGTAACTTGAAAAAAATTAAAACTTGCTACTTACCTTTTTTGGTCCATGCACACTAGGGGCAGAAAGATGCCAGAACCTTGTGCATTTAGTGGACCAGTTGTACTGAGTTTACTATCATTTTAAGGAGGGGGCCATGACACTGTTTGCTCTTTTTAACCCTATCTGTCCTGATAAACTGTTAATATTATCAAGATTTGGGTTGTGTATTGTATGTTAATGTACATTTAGTTCAATCCGTCCCGAAACTGTCACATTGCAAATTATTCTAAACCAGGGCTTGACAAATTTGCTTTGAATCTAGGAGTCAGCTAAAAAAGTTCAGAGCCAGTTTTTTTTTTTTTTTTAGCACAATGTGGGTTGTCAGCACCAGGGCAAAGCAATTAATTTGCACCCCCAATCCCCCCCAACCTTAACTTACTAAGGAAGTTATGTCAGGGTTATAGGCTGGCCAGAAAGAATGACAATACAAACCTGTTATAGGGGGAAACACCTTATTAATATGCAAATTGCCCTCTCGCCAATTTTCACAATACCCTCTTCTCCTCTTCACAAATTTCAACCCCACTATGGACTTTGCTCTGCGTCCATGGCTCACTCACCTCTCATCCTAGGACACTGTAGTTGGCTGGCCGTGAGCTTCTGCCATGACTTTCTACCAGATCCGCTCCAACACAGCCTCGGCATCCCGAGATTGGCAAACACCACATGAGGCCCAATCGCTGACCCAGATCTGATCTCCGATGGGTGACAGTAAGAATGGAAGTCCAGGCACAGCCTCCAAGGAGAGTGGAGGGAGCTCAGAGCCTGCACTCTTCTCGCATCACCCTGGAGCAGCTCAGGCGGAGTTGGGAGCCAACAATCAGACTCGTCCTTCCATCCCCCGTGTCCGCTGTCCTGTCACATCTCTGTCATCCCCCTAAAACAGCGCTCAGAAACTGGGTGATGGAGAAGCGGTGGCTGGGGGCTGTGTGTTCCCAGAGCACAGATTACCCGCACACAGCAGCCCAGAGTGCCAGTATGTGAAGCAAAAAAAAAAAAAAACTTTAGCCCTGTCTGGCGCCTGGAAATGTACACCCAGGGAGTTGGCAACAGGAACTGCTCACACACCCTGGGGCCAACAGTGAATGGGTTGACAAAAGCCCAGGTCCCAGGACGCAATTGGTGGCAACCCTGGCAAGTGGGATTTGTAGAGCCCTGTTCTAAACAATACTATCTCCCTTTGGAGCCCTATGTATAATCCTGCTCCAAATAAACAACTAGGGAGGTAAAGCTAGCTATGCATGGATCAAGTTTGAGCCATGTATGGCTGTGTGACAGCTGTCAGACTACAATAGCTGATAGGGGAGATTCGTCCAACTAAGCTGTATAGCAAGGACCCGTTAAATTGCTTTCATTCAACCCACAACCTGAACCAAAGAAACATATATAAATGTGCATGGCAAAATTAAGATCTATGTTTAGGTATGCTTTGTGAATAGATGCACATAAACCAAGTGGGGGTTATCAAATTTGGCTGCAAAAGGTGGAAATACACAAATACTATAATACACAAAAAGGTGAACAAGTACATTTCTAAAAAGGACCTATCAGATCACCTGATCCTGGTAAGAACCAGGGCTTCCATTGTAAATAATGGTTGCATTTAGACTAGTTCCAAGTTGTTGAACAGTGACAGCTCTGAGCACTGGAATTGTGCATGATGTTGCAAGTCTTCTGTGTCCTGGAACTAGCACCATTTCCAGAAATCAGCCAGTGCCAGTCTTGGCTGTGATAGAGAATGATAAATTTGATGGCTTCTCCTGACAAATCCATAAAAATGATACTGACATTATACCATTTTCTGTGTAAAAGATTCAAAATACACTGGGTTTCGACTGTTTTACATTCATGATGGGTACTGTATGCATAGTTTACTAAAGGCCAATAAAAGCAATGTGTGTCACCAACACAGCTCAACACTATAAACAACTAATTCATAGCTCTTTAAAGAGACCCCTAACTAATGCCTGCAAGATTAAAATGGATTTATCCTTATGGCAGATGAGCATGTTAATTAAATTATGCCAAGCTTTCCTTACATGTTCACTCAATGTCTAATCTGGTCAGCTTGGCAAATCTAGGATACTGTTTAGTGGTATTTGCCAACTGCCTGCTCTGATAACATTGTAATAAACTGGTGTCTTCCTTCTTTATTCTCACTAAATATGAGTGAATTTTCTCTGACTTTCCTTCAATCTGCTCATCAAATGCATTCCATCCAGGAAGCTTAATATGGCATACCTACAGTTAGGTCCATATATATTTGGACACAGGCAAAAGTTTAGTTTTTTTCAGGTATTTACCAAAACATATTCAAGCTATAGTTATATAATGGACATGGGCTGAAAGTGCACACTCTCAGGTTTAATTTGAGGGTATGTACATCCACATTGGAGGAAGGGTTTAGGAATTACAGCTCTTAAGAGTAGTAATTGGTAGTAGTTAAAAGTAATTGGACAAATGAAAATAATCATAAATAAAATGTTCATTGGTAATATTTTGTTGAGAATCCTTTACTGGCAATGACTGCCTGAAGTCTGGAACCCATGGACATTACCAAAGACTGAGTTTCCTCCTTTCTGATGCTTTGCCAGGCTCTAACTGCAGCTGTCTTCAGTTGTTCTTTGTGGGTCTTTCTGTCTTTAGCTTTGCCTTCAACAAGCGAAATGCATGCTCAATTGGGTTGTGATCAGGCGACTGACTCGGCCATTGCAGAATATTCCACTTCTTTTCCTTCAAAAGCTCCTGGGTTGCTTTTGCAGTGTTTTGGATCATTGTCCATCTGTACTGTGAAGCGCCGTCCAATCAACTTTGCTGCACTTGGCTAAATCTGGGCTGACAGTATATCTCTAAACACTTCAGAATTCATCCGGCTGCTTCTGTCACATCATCAATAAACACCAATGACCCAGTGCCACTGGAAGCCATGCATGCCCATGCCATCACACTGCCTCCACCATGTTTTGCAGATGACGTTGTGTGCTTTGGATCATGAGCTGTTCCAAGCCTTCTCCACACTTTTTTTCTTCCCGTCATTCTGGTACAGATTAATCTGAGTTTCATCCGTCCAAGAATGCTTTTCCAGAACTGGTCTGCCTTTTTTTTGTTTTTTTTGCAAAGTCTGATCTGGCTTTTCTATTCTTCAGGCTTATGAATGGTTTGCACCTTGTGATGAACCCTCTGTAATTGCTCTCGTGAAGTCTTCTCTTGATTGTAGACTTTGACAATGAAATGCCCACCTCCTGGAGAGTGTCCTCCACTTCTCTGTATGTTGTGAATGGGTTTTTCTTTACCATACAGAGGATTCTGAGATCATCCACCACTGTTGTCTTCTGTGGACGTCCATGCCTTTTTATGTTGCTGAGCTCACCAGTGCGTTCTTCTTTCCTCAGAATGTTCCAAACTGTTGATTTGGCCACTCCTAATGTTGCTGCTATCTCTCTGATGGATTGTTTCATTTTTGAAGCTTTAGAATGGTCTGTTTCACTTGCATGGACAGCTCCTTTGAACGCATGATGTAGGTTCACAGCAAAAGATTCCAAATGCAAATACCACACTTAGAATCAACTCCAGACCTTTTACCTGCTTAATTGATGAAGAAATAACAAAGGAGTAGCCCACACCTGGCCATAAAACAGCTTTTGATTCAATTGTCCAAATACTTTTGGTCCCTTGAAAAAAGGGGGGATGGCTACTCTTAAGAGCTGTAATTCCTAAACCCTTCCTCCAATTTGGATGTACATACCCTCAAATTAAACCTGAGAGTGTGCACTTTCAGCCCATATCCATTATATAACTATAGCTTGAATATGTTTTTGTCCAAATATATATGGACCTAACTGTATACCATAACAGCAGTATGCAGCCCATGGAACTACTATGAAAGTCTCAGTGTAGACTGTAAGCCAAGGCCAGCTCTCATATGGTGATATATGCAGCACTGTTGGAACTGCTATGAGCAACCATAAAAGTAATCACCACTTACATTAATCGCTCCATCTGACTTTTTCTAGAAGCGCTAATAGATGACAGTGTTTACCACACTGGGAGATTTTTCAACTTTTTAGAGAATCTCCTTATAAGCATATCCAGTCTACTACAGGAAGTGGCAAGATCAAAGTATTCTAGTATAAATAGAGAAAGCAAGCACCAAAACTATAAGCCACTCTTGCACCAAAAAGGCAACCAAAATACACCTCCAAGAACAAATAAATAAAGGAAAGGTGCAGTGCTTAAAAAAATAAATGACTAAAAATGCACATATAAACATTAAAAACTTAATGATATGCCCGCATAAAGTGACATAGTGCAAATCAGGTGTAAATAAATCTGCAATAAAGTGCTATATTACGTGACAATAGTGAGCACGTGTTAGTGCTAAAATACACCACAGATAATGACATATAAATTCCAGAATTTAATAAAGGTGAAGATTCATCAAAATGGTCTCAATCAGGTGAGCAGTATACTTCTAGTGGTCATTCAGGTGATGTGCCAGAGTTAGAAGTTAAGATTGCGCACTCACCAGATGCAAAATCATAATACGCATTTGTATGTATGATAAATCAGCCGGAGGTCCCCTTTAAGGATATCAACATCCTGGTCTGGTCCGAGGGATTCCCTTCCCCTGGGTTATCTGCTGCACCACTGCCGTCCTCCAGAATGGGCTAGTTCAATGCAGAGAAAGATGCGGATAAGGAGAGACACCGACAGCGGTGTCTGTCTCAGAGGGTGAGGTGCAGCCTGGCCAGTCCAATCCTAAGAAGGGGAAGCTTCTTTCCAGATAATGAATGGGCTAGTGTAAGAAGAGAGGCCAAGCTTGTTAGCAAAAGAAAGTAGCTGTAGAGAAAAGGTTCCTGATGAGAAGGAACAGGCTAGGGATTCATTATCTGGAAAGAAGCTTCCCCCTCTTAGGATTGGACTGGCCAGGCTGCACCTCACCCTCTGAGACAGACACCGCTGTCGGTGTCTCTCCTTATCCGCATCTTTCTCTGCATTGAACTAGCCCATTCTGGAGGACGGCAGTGGTGCAGCAGATAACCCAGGGGAAGGGAATCTCTCGGACCAGACCAGGCTGTTGATATCCTTAAAGAGGACCTCCGGCTGATTTATCATATACACAAATGCGTATTATGATTTTGCATCTGGCGAGTGCGCAATCTTAACGTTTAACTCTGGCACATCACCTGAATGACCACTAGAAGTATACAGATCACCTGATTGAGACCATGTGATGGATCTTCACCTTTATTAAATTGTGGACTTTATGGGGTTTATTTACTAAAGCTGGAGAGTGCAAAATCAGACTCACTTCTGCATAGAAACCAATCAGCTTCCAGGTTTCATTGCCAAAGCTTCATTGAACAAGCTGAGGTTAGAAGCTGATTGGTTTCTATGCAGAAGGGAGTCTGATTTTGGACTCTCCAGCTTTAGTAAATAAACCCCTATAGGTCATTATCTGTGGTGTATTTGAGCACTAACACATGCGCACGATTGTCACATAATATAGCACCTTATTGCAGATTTATTTACACCTGATTTGCACTGTCATTTTATGCGGGCATATCATTACGTTTTTAATGTTTTATATGTGCATTTTTAGTCATTTATTTTTAAGCGATGCACCTTTCTTTTATTTACAAGATCAAAGTATTGTCCACACACTGCTGTCACAATTGGGTGAGACTGTAAGAGGGTGAAAGTCCTCCAAATACTCAACTGTTCTGAAAAGATATCTACTTGACTGCAGTCACCCTAAAGTATACAACCCAAGTGTTTGTAAAATCCAAAAGAAGATAGCAATGGCAGCTTCAATATTTCTATGTTTTACTTTAGGCTGGTAAAAAAATATATATGCTGTTCGTATCTATCATGATATGAATTAATCCTATGAGTTTTCCTGGCTTCCTAAAGCTCAGTACTGTCTGGCCTGTGAAGTCATTGGTCTTTATTCAAGAAGCAGAAAGCAACAAGCATGCAGCAGTCACCCAAAGCAACTACCGTATATACTCGAGTATAAGCCGACCCGAATATAAGCCCAGGTACCTAATTTTACCACAAAAAAACTGGGAAAAACTATTGACTCGAGTATAATTCGGTGGTGTCAGTGGGGGGAGGAATAGTGCCCCATCGTTGGTGTCAGTGGGGGGAGGAATAGTGCCCCATCGTTGGTGTCAGTGGGGGGAGGAATAGTGCCCCTTCGTTGGTATTAGTGACACCAATGATTGGGCACTATTCCTCCCACTGACACCAATGATACTTAACTTGCTGACCCCTGCTCCAGCCTGGGCTCGCTCGCTCCCTCCCTCTCCCATGGTACACGCTTACCGGTCAGATGTCTTCCTTCTCCGGCCGCTCTCCTCCTCTTCACTCGCTCGATCTTCGCGGGTGCCGCTCGGCTCCTCCTCTCCAAGCTCCACCTCCTCGCCGGTGATTGGGCGCCTGTGTGCCTCTCCTAAGCTACAGTTCCGGCGGCCAATCACCGGCGAGGATTGATCCCGGGGGTGTGTCCAGATGACAGGGACGGCATGTCATCCCGTCCACACCTGGACGTTGACTCGAGTATAAGCCGAGGGGGCCGTTTTTCAGCACAAAAAATGTGCTGAAAAACTCGGCTTATACTCGAGTATATACGGTAGCTAGAACTCATGTTTCCTAGTCTGATGCTAAAAAGATGACTTCCCATTAATTAGATTTGTTATGCACTTATTAGCTTACTGACAAATGCTTCGTGTCTGTATGTTGCACATTAAGGCTCTTTGCACACTGGCTTAAAAAAACATCAGTGCTCTTGGCAGAAAAAAACACTGATTTTGATAAAAAAAATTTTTGCACTAACGTTTAGGAGCATTTAGTGCCTTTTTTCTGCCAGAAAACTGCTCTCAAAAATGCAAAACAGAAGGGTTTATATTCTGCCTCTAAATGCTGCATGGACACATAGGATAACAGTAGTTGCCTCTACAGGCAACTCCTCTGGGAGCAGTATTTTTTTTAAGCCAGTGTGCATGGAGCCTAACTGTTATCATTAGAGATGAGCGAATTATTCAAAAATTCGGTTCGGCTGATTCGCCAAATTCGCCGAATAAATTCGCTTCGAGCCGAATATATTCGCTGCGAATTTAACTTATAAAAAGGGTGTTTCTAGGCTTCAGAGAGCCTTTATATTAGTGCAGAACACTGTACCTTTAATTTAAATGCCCTTGGAGTCTGCTGGGGAAGAGAACTAATACTGTCAGTCAGTATGACATGCAGATGAGTGCCGTCGATCTTAGAATCACCGCACACTTCACTCATTTGGGCAGTCACGGGGCCAAAACCAGAGTGTGGAGCCACAGTTGTGGCGGTGGAGGCAGCAGCAATGGGAGGCCATACAGCACCCTATGACAAAATGGAACCCACCAGCAGTGTGAGGAGACCTGAAAGTGGCACATGGCAGAGTGTGGCGATGGAGACAGCAGCAATGGGAGGCCGTACAGGGACCCATGACACACTCTGGACCTGGCAGCAGCATGAGGAGGCGGGGGTACAGGGGCCCATGACAGATTACGGGCCTGGCAGCAGCATGAGGAGTCGGTACGGGGGCCCATGGCAGATTACGGGCCTGGCAGAGCAGCATGAGGAGGCGGTACAGGGGCCCATGGCAGAGTGGCGGAGCGTAAGCAGCTAAAATTGAAGGCCATACAGAGGCCTATGTTAAAAAGTCCCCCCCAGCAGCAGCGTGGGGAGACGACTATCAAGAGTCCAATGGCAGAGTGGCGGAGCAGAAGCAGCTTCAATTGAAGGCCATACACAGGCCTAGGTTTAAAAGTCCCTCACAGTTAATTCCAATAACGAACTCTACTCCTCCGTGCAATCTACTTACGAGACCCTGGGCAGGTCTGGGTCCAATTTGTGGTAGAGACTGGTTTTGTTCAGCCATGCTTGAGCGAGTAATAACAGGTCTGTGCTGCCCTTTGGTGTCTGGCTTAATGCGCACAACACTGAACGTCCCAGCGTTTGTCAACGATTTGCCGTTAAGTGATGCAAACCCGCTGAACCACGTTCATGAGGAGCCGGTACAGGGGGCCATGAATCAGTATGGACCTGGCAGCAGCGTGAGCAGATGACAGAGGCACATGGCGCAGGGTGGCGGTGTAGGCAGCATTATTCTGAAGCCATACACAGGCCTAGGTTAAAAAGCGGAAGCCGTCAGCAGCTGTGAGCAGACGACAGAGACACATGGCGCAGGGTGGAGGTGGATGCAGCAGTATTCGGAAGCCAAACACAGGCCTCGGTTAAAAAGCGGAAGCCGTCAGCAGCGTGAGTAGACGACAGAGGCACATGGCGCAGGGTGGCGGTGGAGGCAGCAGCAATGGAAGGCCATACAGCACCCTATCACAAAATGGAACCCACCAACAGTGTAAGGAGACCTGAAAGTGGCACATGGCAGAGTCTGGCGATGAAGTCAGCAGCAATGGGAGGCCGTACAGGGACCCATGACACACTCTGGACCAGGCGGTACAGGGGCCCATGGCAGAGTGGCGAAGCGTAAGCAGCTTAAATTGAAGGCCATACAGAGGCCTATGTTAAAAAGTCCCCCCAGCAGCAGTGTGGGGAGACGACTATCAAGAGTCCAATGGCAGAGTGGCGGAGCAGAAGCAGCTTCAATTGAAGGCCATAACACAGGCCTAGGTTAAAAAGTCCCCCCAGCAGCAGCGTGGGGAGACGACTATCAAGAGTCCAATGGCTGAGTGGCGATCCGGGAAGTCAGCGTTGTGATTGCAGATGCAATGCAGAAATTCTACGAAGTAATGCCGTGGGTGCGAAGAAGATCATATACCGTCGTACTTCCATCCATAAGACGGAACAACCAGCCATGCTTGAGCGAGTAATAAACAGGTCTGTGCTGCCCTTTGGTGTCTGGCTTAATGCGCACAACACTGAACGTCCCAGCATTTGTCAACGATTTGCCGTTTAAGTGATGCAAACCCGCTCTGAACCACGTTCATGAGGAGCCGGTACAGGGGGCCATGAATCAGTATGGACCTGGCAGCAGTGTGAGGAGACCCGAAAGTGGCACATGGCGCAGGGTGGCGGTGGAGGCAGCAGTATTCGGAAGACATACACAGGACTAGTTTAAAAAGCGGAAGCCGTCAGCAGCGTGAGCAGACGACAGAGACACATGGCGCAGGGTGGCGGTGGAGGCAGCAGTATTCGGAAGCCATACACAGGCCTCGGTTTAAAACTGGAACCCAGCAGCGTGAGCAGACGACAAAGACGCACATGGCAGAGGATGGATCTGGCAGCAGTATGAGAAGGCGGTACAGGGGCCCGTGGCACAGTGTGGTGATGGGGGCTACAGCAACTGGATGCCAGAAAGTGGCCGATAGGGCTATATACTGCATGGAATTATAAAGTTGTAAAGACAGCGGCCTATAAGGCTATACACACTATAACAATCATGACTTGATTGACCATTGGCCTATAAGGCTATACACAGCATGAATATCATGACTTATTCTGAGAGTGGTTTGGAAGGCTATATACAAAAAAAGTAATTCATGAGCTGTCCGGACAGCGGACAATAAGTACATATATACAAATCAATTCATCAGCTGTCCAGCCAGCGGCCTCAAAGGCGACACATATAGAAAGCAATTCATGAGCTGTCAGACAGCGGCCTCTAAGGCGACAGATATACAAAGCAATTCCCGAGGTGTTCAGGGAGCGGCCTGAACGGCTAGGTTATTACTAAATATATTTTTGTGGCCAAACATCGGCCTATAAATAGATGTCTACACAGTGACAAAAAATTATGTCGCCAGACAGCGGCCCCTAAGGCGACAGATATACAAAGCAATTCCCGAGGTGTTCAGTGAGCGGCTTGAACGGCTAGGTTATTACTAAATATATCTTTCTGGCCAAACATCGGCCTATAAATAGATGTCTACACAGTGACAAAAAAAGTAGGTCGCCTTACAGCGGCGTATCCTACAAATTGACATTATAAGAAATGGTTTTAGACCAAAAAAAAAAAAACTTTGATGCGATGCTATACCTTAGTAGATTGTGGAAAGTCGACAAGTCAAGCGTAACTGTGTACATTACAGAAAATCTTAACAAGACAACCAAACATGTGGCCAAACCGTGACCGATACAAAAAAGTTAAACAATGTAAGAAACAGGAGGGGGCCAAACCGTGGCCAATAAATAAACAGTCCACCTCATTGATGAGATGGACAACACGTGTCAAATAAATATTTAAAAAAAATTGCTATTCCATCGGTCTGGAACTGGTCGACTATAAATAATTAAAAAGTTTAAATTCATGTGACAGTCGTCCAGCGACATATAAATAATTTAAAAAACACCAATTCATGAGGGGCCCGACCAGCAGAGTATAAGTCATTAAAAAGGTTCAATTCATGTGACGGTCGTCCAGCGAAGTATAAATAATTTAAAAACCCCAATTCATGAGGGGCCCGACCTGCAGAGTATAAGTCATTAAAAATGTGCAAAACATGAGTCGGCCGACCAGCAGCCTCTCAATAAAATATATATACAAATGTACGGATCAGGTGGAGGTCTTCCATTTGTCCCTAATAACATGTTTGGGGCATGATTCATGGCGGATTTAGTCAGTTGTGTCAGGAACTGGTGGTTTGAAATCCAGACTAATCCACGCCTGATTCATTTTCACAAACGTGAGTCTCTCCACACTTTGGGTGGACAGTCGTGTCCTCCGCGGAGTTACAATACCTCCTGCCGCACTAAACACGTGCTCCGATGCCACGCTACTGGCCGGGCATGACAGCCTTTCAAGGGCAAATTCAGCTAGTTGGGGCCAAAGGTCAAGTTTCGTTGCCCAGTAGTCAAGGGGATTGTCTACCTCGGTTGGCAGGGTGCTGTCCAAGTAGGCCCAAGCCTGTTGTTTGAGGTCCTGCTCCAGGTCCACCTGATGCTGCTGCTGCTGCGGCTGGTTAGTAGTTTCCTCACTGCGCTGGTGAAGAAAGCTACTCATCATCGACTGCAGACTGAGGCAGCCGCTGCTGCTGGAGCTGCCACTGCTCCTACCACCCCACCCCTCCCCTGCTGCCATGGCAGCGGAACGCGAGCGCACAGGGCCCACAGTGTCTGAGGATGGACGTTGGCGCAGAAAGGCAGCCATTGTTAACAGCATTTGTTCCAGGACGTGCAACAGAGGAATGACGTCGTTCATCCCATAGTCCTGCCGACTCACGAATAGCGTGGCCTCCTCAAAGGGCCTGAGCAAGCGGCAGGTGTCACGCATGAGCTGCCAATGGCTGACATCTAAGTTACACAGGGGAGTACCTTTATCCGCTTGTAACATCAGGAAATCGGTGATGGCCTTTCGCTGTTCGTAAAGGCGGTTCTAACATATGTAGGGTTGAATTCCACCTTGTTGCAACGTCGCAGATCAGG